CAAGTCATTTCCATATATTTTCTGGTGGTTTGGATATCAGTTATGTTTTTCTTTGTTGCTTTGATAATGAATCTGGTGTATCTCTGTCGAAGTCATCTTCTTTAAGGACAAATGGCAACAGAAAGGCTGGTGGTTGAAGCATGTTGATTCTCCAGCCAGAAATGACTGAGGTGCTACAATGATGAATTTAGGCAAACTTGACTGAAGAGAAAAGAACTACTAAAAGAACTACTAAATATATATATATATATTGGCTCTGAGCAGATTATAGTCCAAGTGGTCTTAAACTCATTGAATAGGCATCATACTATGACTACTTTCTTCATTTTGGCCCTACAAACTGCCTTGTAACTAATTTTCAGCTAATTCACTCATTTTTAATTCAGTACAAGATTTACAATTCCTAGTGGGTTTTTTTTTCAATTTTTATTATTTTATTTTCATTACAATCATAAGAAGAAAAATTCAGATACATAAGAAGTTAAAATACAACACAAATTCCAACATTGCTCACCCATTTCCCCCCAGACCGCATCCCCCTCTCATCTCTTCACTTCCCCCTTCCTTTTGGTTTAAATAAAAGTTAACAAGTGAGTAAAAGATATATATGGGTTCATGGTTTGAGTATTTATATAATTGTTAGTGGACATTTTTGTTTCTTCCTAGCATTTTCCTGCAAGTGCAAGGTCCTTTTTTTTAATTTATCGATCAAGTGTTGATCCATTGGTTGTGACAAGAATTGACCATCCTGATGTCATGAGCTGAGACAGAGCAACTGATCTAAAGTTACTCAGCTGGCTTTCATGCCTAAGGCAGGACTAGAACTCAGTCTCCTGCATTCTAGCCTGCTTAGCAAAGCAATTAAATAGATGGCTTTGCTAGCATTTAAAATGGCACAGTGGGAACTGAAAGACCTTATCAAAAACTGTTCTTGAATCTCTCTCAACTTGGACTCCAAAATTTGGTGGCTAAGGTGATGGGAATTATTATCTAATATACATAGCATATAAGTTTACAGAAGGATGTATTATTGTTTTTATTATTATCGCTGTTCCACATTTCTACCTATATGATTGATGATGTGATAGTGTAGGATTTATAATTCATTCCTCTGGCAAATATTTTCCAGTAAGCTAAGTTTACACTGCCCACTTGAAGGAGATGGGGCGGTTCTTAAATATGATAGATGATAGATAGATAGATAGATAGATAGATAGATAGATAGATAGATAGATAGACAGACAGACAGACAGACACACACACACACAGATGATTTACAGATAGACAGACAGTCATTTTAAGAAGAAAGGATTCATCAAATTGCAGTAGCATTTTGTAATTGATAAAATATATGAATCATTATGGACTTGGAAAAAAGCCAAGATATTGCCTGAATCTACATTCATATTTAGAGATCTTTTTTTAAAAAAAATAATGGAGTATTTGTAGTCATAAAAATCCTAGCTTCTACTTTCAGTCAACCCTTTATATTTAGATCTCATGAGTATAGATAAAAAAATGCAAAGATATGAATTAACAGAAGGCATATGAAGTCTTTTCTCCTCTTTCTTATTCCATATCAGGGCTGATTCCTGGAGATTGCTTGGACAAGTATCTGTAGTTTTTTTTGGTAATTTTCAGAAGTGGTTTTCCATTCTCTTCTTCTTAGGGCTGAGAGAGAATGACCAGCCCAAGATCATCTAACTGGCTTTATGCTTATGGCAGGATTAGAATTTATAATTTCCTACTTTTAATCTGTTGCCTTAACCACTACACCATACAGACTCTCTTATATACCATAGCTTATAACTTAGTTATATATTTGAAGAAGCAAAAGTAGCAACATTGAAGAAGCAACATTGTTGACTACTCAATAGAAACCTCTGCCTTGAAATCATTGGTAGTTGGATATTAATGATTAATTAAATAGAGCAGTTGAAAGGTTTGTTAATGTTGCAGAAAAGATATGTTGACCAATGGGAGCCGATAAGCTGTGCAAAGTCAATGAAGTAAATATCAGGAGGCATAGCTACCTAGGAGCCCATAGGCCTCAGGGGTCACCCTTTGTTCCTCAATCTTAAAAAAGCCAGACCTGGCATTATGGTACTTGCATGGCCAGAATTATCTAGGATTATTCATAGGATGGAACCATGGATGGAGCACAGAGCAGCAGGTAGATGCAGGCTGTGGGTTAGGGTTAAGGTTAGATAGCAAAGAGATATAAAAAAGCTCTTATTTTTTGCCATTTAAGAGTCATCTGGATTTTTTCATTGCAGATCTAATAGCACTAGCTCCCGCTTAGCCTGCCTGCAGTACTTCATCCAAACAGAGCAGAATTGCCAATAGCAATTATTTCTCCTGAAAACAACTTGTGGCTGCAATTCATGGGCACCAGAACAAATGAGGAGTTTGCCTTGGAACTCCATGGTTTCTGAGTATTCCCCTATATAGGCCCGTATTTGTGCTGGAAGGTATGAGGTGGGGGAAGGATGGTGCAAGGCAAGCAATTTATTTAGATTACCAACCAACTATTGCACTTTTCTAACTTCTGTGCAACTTTACAAAATCATAGGGCATATTTCTAATACAAATGACATTTTTAGAGTAGCTTCAAAATCTTTATAAAGCAACATCTTCCTGTGCTGTTCAATGGTTTTATAATATAGATTAGATATTTCACTCATGGATGAAAGATTCAAGTCACTTCTATGAGAGAACTATGTAGCATAGAAATTAGTTTTGTATAGGAAATACTATGAACCACATGAGTAGTTTTTCACATACGGTAGCCATTTATTTAGCAGACTTTGTTCAAGCAGACTTCAGATTTAACAGGCAAAATTTGCTGGATCAGAATTCTGTCCAGATTACAGACAATAATAGCATTATTTGTTATTTAGCAAATCAGTCTGGATAATATTTATTGCTTACCCATTCACTGTTATCAATAAAGCAAGTTTTTTGGTGGCACTCCAAAAATCCCATTCACCAATTAACAGACATTCATCTTTAACAGACAATCTAGTTCTCTATTCATCTGTGAAATTCTGGGTTTGCTGTAAAATTAATGCATAGGTACCTACATAACTAAAGTTCCACACAATTCCAACTGGAAAATTGGTATTATAAAATGGTCATAGTGACAAGCAAATAAACAGATAAAACAGTTTTCAAATATTTTATACAATTTAAGCATTGAGACAGCAGCTCAAAGATCCTGAGAAGCAGGAATATATAGTTGTCTGCATCTTTCTAATGTCTCTTGAACATATTTTATTGTATACATGACTTTAAATAAATTATGGGAAAAACACATTCCTAAATGCCAAAAACAAGGCTATATTTTTAAGTTTAAAATGTATATTCCTGGATAATTGTAAACTTTCTTAATTTAAAAAGCTTGTCAGTGTTTACAAATTAAAGTCCATTTTTATTTGAATAGGTACAAACACCATTTGAGTAAATATAACTAAAAATAAACATATTGTTAACTTTCATTAAATTGAAAATAATGTATATTAATCTAAATGTAATCTAGTTATAGTAAAAAAATCTAGCTGCAATAATTTTGAAACCTTAAATCAAATTCAAATTAATGAAGATTATTGAGAATTATTGAAATTTATTCCTTATTCAGTTGAAGTTAACACTATTAAATATATAATTCATTTTAATATATTTAGTATATTTCCTTCAACCTCTTATTTATTTTGCTATGAAAAATAAACTTATGCAATGTTCAAATTAGTCCTATTTTCACTTATCCTACTAAAGTGTGTGTGTGGCAATATTGAATTTACATGATAAAATCTAATTACTGCAAGTAAACAAACGAATTCAGCTACGGTTTTTTCATTAAGGTGGACTAAAGTAACGTTTCGTAGCTCTTACACAATCTTTCATTTTTCCATTCAACCAAAATGCTGATTGAACAATTTACCGTAATCTAAAATTGACCGCTGGCATCTCGTTCAGAGCAAAGCTAAAGGTGTAAACGATTTGCAAAATCTTTAGATTGCTCCCATGATTTTATGATTGAATTTTCACTCTTTAACCGTCTCTCTTTTAAAAGTCTCAGGTCATTTAAAACATAGTATCCTGCACAATTTCGTTTGTTTGGTTGTCCTGTCCGCGAAATTTACAGCTAGAAGCCAGCACCCTCTGCAGAGAGGTGCATCTCACTAACTAACAGTGGCAAATCCACTGGTCTGTTTTAATAGACAGAAGCCAGCCAGGACAAGTGTTTGAATAAACCTCGAAGCGGCGGGAGGCGATTTTATTGGTGAATGGAAAGGAAATCACCTCGGCGGCTGGGCGCCCTTCCGACCAGGCAGCCTTTGCCTTCCTCCCCGAAGGAAGGGGGGGAGGCGCCCCTCGCTTTGCCCCCACCATTTCTTTCCCCCCATTTGTTTAGCCAAGGGAGCACCCCCCCGCCGCCGCTTCTCTTCCTGCTTCTGCCGCTTCCCGGCCTCTCTCCTCCAGCCGTCCACGTTACACGGTGTCCCTCGGCAACACCGCTCGTTGGTAATCGCTGGTGCTCCGCGGAGACTGGCTTCCTCCCAACCGCGAGGCGTCCGAGGGCCCGGCCTGGAACAGCGCCAGGCCGACCGGTCCTTCGCTTTTCTCTCACGCGGAATCACCTGGCCTAAGCGCTCCCACACCTGTCACCAGTTGGGAGGCGCGCAGAGCTTCTTTCTGCTCTGGGTGGCGGACCAGCTCTCGGCTGCTCTCGGGCGCCTGCCTCCTTCGCTCTTCTCAGGGAGCCAGAGGGCGGCTGGGGCTGGGCTCCTCGGCGCGCTTCTGCTGGTCCCGGCTCGCCCCAAGCCGACCAGCCTCTCCCGCCTTCTCTCTTTTCACCTTCTCTCTCTCTCTCTCTCTCTCTCTCTCTCTCTCTTACCGCCCCCCCCGCGCTTTTTGGAATTCCTAATCGCGGATGGCCTCTGTGATTGGCTGTTCGGTTCTGATCCCGCTTGGGCACCAGCCTGGGCGTATAAAAGGGGCCTGAGGCGGGGGCTCCCGAGCATTCCCCGGAGCGGGCACAAGGGACCAGTCACAGCATGACGGGCAAAGCGGGGGACGCGCTGGCCCACAGCCTGCCCGGCAAACCCCAACCCCCCGAAGGCGCGCCTCCTCCTATGCCGGCCTCCGGTTCTAATGGGGCAGGGGCTGTAGTAGGGGGCTGTGCCACGGGGGCCAAGCCTAGCTCGGGCCCTACAGCACCACGCTGCACCGGCTTCGGCATTCAGGAAATCTTGGGCTTGAACAAGGAGCCGCCTTCCCAACCTCGCGCAGCCCTGGACTCCTTACCCGCCGGGCACCTGCTGGCGGCCCGCTCCGTCCTCAGCCCAGGCGGGGTGGGCAGCGTGGGCATGGGCTTGCTGAGCACCGGCAGCCTCCCGGGTTTCTACGCGCAGCCCACTTTCCTGGAGGTATTGGCCGACCCGCCCAGCGTACACCTGCAGCCGCTGGGCAGAGCCCCCGCGCAGCTAGACACCAGCCAGACGGCCAGCTCAGGTAGAGCTCTTGTGGCGGAAGAGAGCAGTGGGGAGGAGGGCCCTGGGCCCGGGAGGAAGCTGGGAGACACTGGGAATCGCTATCCCGGGCGGTGAGATCTCTGCCCTTGACAAGGTGCTGCGAACCACTCCAGACAGACCAGTCTAATGCAGCTGATCCCGAAGCGGCGATCGCTGCGCCCCAGCCTATCCGGCAGGGTTTAAGAGTCTCCCCGATGCAAGGAATGCTCGATCTCATTTCAGACCTTCCCGATTTTGTCAGACGTGAGCAATTTTCGGCTAAGCACCTCGCAGTCACACAGTGTATCAAAATAAAATTAACAACATCGAGAGATAAAAGGGTGAGAAGTAGCGGTGTAGGAACCCAACCTTGCTCAAAGGACTCTTCCGCCTTTTGTAGACAAAAAATACAGCCGCGGTGCGGCTTGAATTACCCTAAAAGTCCCATATGTAGTAAAGGGCGCTAGGATAATAAGCAGGAATCACTTGATGTCTTAAAGTTTAACCAAAACAATATAAAGAAAAATGCAGTAAACGGCAAGCATTAAAAATAACACAATGCTCCGGGAAATTGTTAAACAGGAGAGAGAGGCGCTGTGGTTAATTTAGGGATCCTAACAAGAAAATGCCCCGCTGCTTTATTCTGCTCCCTTTTTCCAAAGTCCAGAGTTTTCTTTTCCCAACCTCTAAATACAGGGAAGATTAGAGGAATAAAAAGCTCCCTGAAAGATTTATTTCCTGCCTATCGAATGTAAAAGGTTCTCTCCCTCTTTTGATTTCCCGTCTAGCTCGTTCTTTCCATTTTGTTTAATATTTTTTTAAAAAATCCTAATGATTGACAAACGACATCTCAGTGTGGGAGAAATGGGCTGATTTGAAAAGAAAACTAGAGCCCAGGCCCGGGAGAGAGAAAAGATGCGGGAAAAGTAGCTAGAAGAGAGCGAGGCATCCATCTCCCGGCTGGAAGGGTTTACGGGGCGCCCTCAGGAAGAGAAATCCGATCAAACGAAATCCTCCCCACAAAAGCCCTGATCCGAGAAAGTTCGGACAAGGCCTGCGGGTGACAGCCTGGCGTGTTCCTCGGAGCGGGCGGGGAAAGCTCCCCCCCACCCCCCCAAAGAAGCAGCCCTCTCCATCGCTCCCGCCTTTCTGTCTTCAGATTCCGAAGATGTTTCCTCCACGGACAGAAAAATGTCGAAATCGACCTTAAACCAGAGTAAGAAGCGGAAGAAGAGGCGGCACAGGTAAGGCAACCTTCTTTTCAAGGCCGAGATTTGCGCTCTGGGGCAGCAGGAGTAGTTCCCCCCCCCCCCCCAGTCCTTGGACTTGCCGCCCGCCCGGTGTGCTGGCCGGCGTTTTGCTGGCGGGCCGCTTCCCTCTCTGGGCCTTGCAGATCTGGGTCTTGCCTGCCCCGCACCCCGCCAGGTTCAGGCTTCTGGTTGTCGGCGGTGCTGGTGGGGGCGGTGGGGAGGGCGGGAGAGCGACGAGCCAGCAAGGTCCCTGCACGTAGCGCCCACATCCTCTGCCAATAGATCCTGAGCGATCCCTTGGTCTTCAGGTTTTACTCTGAAGCACAATTCCAAAGAAGACAGAGACTGCGTTAAGGGGCTAGATTTTCTCCACGCCAAACGTTGTATGTATTTTGTTCTCCTAACTTTTATTTGTGGAACCATCAAATCCAAACATCTCAAAGGGAATCTTCCTATATCTGGCTGGTCTCTAGCTCTTCTCTTTCAGAGCTGCCGGAGGGAGCTGTCCAAAGGGTTCCCCTGGACACTTACTTTCCTTTCCGTAAAGCCATTCAGGGCTGTGAATAAATCAAAGAAATCAGCATACTAGAGCAGTTTACAAATCAAACTATTGCTTTACCCAACCAGATCGGTTTCTAATTCGCGTTTAATTTTCTGTAAGTGCTTGGTTTCTCAACAAGGGCATTTATCAAGATTTTCTTTTGTCTGTAAAACAAATTTAATTCCTCCTTCCCATTTGGCAAGGATGCTGATACTTTTTTTGTGATTAGTAATAAAATACAATGTATTGTATTTTAACCCAACCCATCTGGAGAATTCTAGATGGGAGAAAAAAATACCTGAAAACACTCCTGAACAGTTTGGAGACTGAAAAACATACCACGTTACAGTAAAGCTGGGGGAATCACCCAAAGAAAAGTCTGCTCCCTTTCTTACTGATTCAGACTCCAAGAAGGACCTGGCCATTTTGCTCTCTCTTTCCCCCCTCCCCCCTTGCACAGTGATCAACAGAACTAAAACCATTGTAGGGCCCATTTTGCATATTAGTTCTGTTTTGTGTATTCAGCAGCAAGTCCACCTGGACATGATTTGGGAAGATTAAGTTTGCTAACCGGCAGAATATCTGGCTGTAATGAAAAAAAAAAAAAAAGAAAGAAAGAATGGTTTATTTGCTTTGAGAATTGCAACAACTGAAATTGCAACAAATAATTCTCAGTTTTATTGATACATGAACAAATGAGAGCAAGAACTTTTCTGTGAATTAGGCCAATATGCAGGGATATTTTTGCTATGTAGTAGATCAATGTTAGAATTCTTGCAGGTTTTATATTTGCATCTAGAATGAATTGTTTCAGAAATTTGAGAATTTTAGTGTTGAATATGTTAATAATTCTATAATTTGCAAAATGCAATGTTTTTTTTTTAAAGACAATGTCTTCAGGAAATGCCCCAAAATTAGTGGCAATGTGGAGAGGAACTACACCTCTCTATATCCTGAGCAAGAAAGGAGAGGTTAGTTATTACCGGTAGTACTATTGTTTTTACAGAGAATCTGAAAGAATCTGTTACAAACAAATTTTAAGACTACATTTCAAAAGGGTGGATTTTGCCTGTATTTTTGACAGGAATTCTATCTACCCTAAAAAGGAGTGGATAAATTTAAACATAAAAATCCTGCCACTGTTCTTGGGTCCCAAAATAATGCACAATAAGAGAAGCAATTTGTTTTAAGAAAAAGGCAGTGAGGCATTACAGAAGCTTGCTCCATCTACATAGGTGATCATTCTGGGAGAGCAAGAGGAGTTTAGGGGACATCAGAACACAGATTTGATGGCAGAAGGAATCCCTCATAATGTTAGTATTATTAAGCTGATGGAAGTGTTTAACATCTACATGTTAGAAGGTAATTCAGATATCTCTTGACAATGCTTTTGGGAAATATGGAAATATTTAAAAACCAATGCTTAATCTTTAGAATCTTGGCTTTGATTTTTTTTTCTTTTTGAAGCAGTTTTTTTTTATCAGAAGGTTGATTTCATGTTATTTTCAATTTGTTTATATGCTTGTGTGTGTGTATGCTTAGGCACATGCAGACAAGCTTTTATATAGAAATGAAAAATATTGAAATGCAGCTGGCTTCCATGGTAGGTTAATCTCATAACCAGAGAATTTTCTGTGCTTCAGAAATTCATCAGAATGTTTATTCAGATTTGGAGCACAACATGATCCACACATTTTCACCTCTGCAAATATCTCTCATCCCCTCATCCCCTTCTGGAGTTGTGCTTTCAATTCCAGGGGCTATTTTTTTTTTAAATGCCTAAATGAGGACAACTCCTAATTCGGGCTATTGAGATTTCGAAGAAGCATATCTTTACTATGAAATTCTTTTGAAACGGTAGAATCATAGGGTGAGAAGCCAAGCTAAATTCCTTAAGATAGGTGTTCTTACATTGTAAAGTGTTTGGAGTATATTCTTTACAAACAAAATATTAGCAAATGAGGAAGATTTGAAGTTTCCAAATGTTAGGAAAGGAGATAAAAAGGATGATGTTACATCATCAGTAACACATTGGTTATTCTACTCTGCCAATTAAGGATTGGAAGTAAAATAATTTCTTTTAAAAACATTAATGTGAACAATATTTTGCAACAGAAAAAGCAGAAAAATAAATAGATGGACTTTGTTCTTGAAAACTTAAATATTATCATAAAGTCTGTTGTTCAGTGTCTAGTTACAGATAAGGAAAGCCCACATTTCTCCATTTCACAGAATTTAACTGGATCCATAGAGATGGAGTTGGTGGGATCTTCTTGTTAGATTTTGTTGCAGCACTATGGAATTCTTAATGAATGTTAATGCCACATTTCACAAAAAGAAATGATGATCATTCTAATTTGGAAGTCTTTTTAATCCATACCTATTATTAATTCAGCTGCTTCTATAGTACCTGGAACTAAATTGTGCCCCTTATTTTCAACATGATGCCAAATTTTTGTTTGAAAAAAAAACACAAAGCTGACTTAATTAATAAGAAATCTAAAGACCAATAGGAGTAGCTTTTTTATTAGATAACACCATACCTTTTACATAGAGGTACTAAATTTAATTTCTATATTTAGGCTAAAACCCATTTATTTGGGTGCAAACTCACTAACATTCACACTGGAATGTTTAGGATCACAGCATACATGAGCAAAACCAGATTCTATTTACTATCTCAGAGAAGAGTTATCTAAGAATAGAAATGGTATGAAGGAACACACACTGTAAATGATACCTATTCAGAATTATTAGATGTAATATAGGATAGTATGTCGGTAAATGTATCTCTCCCCTCAAGTTTTTCTGGAAAAGTTGGGCAGATATTTTAGATTTCTCCTCCACTTCTTAAAGAAAATAACGTCTTTATTTTCATATAAACATTTGATTAATTCCTCTTAGAGGGCAGGGCAAGAAGCAACGGGTAGAAGCTTGTTAGAGGGAGACCCAACCTGGAACTAAGGAGAAATTTCTTAATAGTGAAAGCAATTAGTTAATGGAACAGCTTGCTTCCTGGATTTGGGGGTGCTTCATTGCTGGAGGCTTTGAAGAAAAGACTGGACAGCCATTTGTCTGAGATAGAATAAGGACTCCTGCCTTGGGCAAGGGTTTGGACTAGAGGACCTCCAAGGCCCCTTGCAGCCCTGTAATTCTATTTCCACAATAGTTATAGCTTTACTACCCTCTCCACTTTGATGTTAATGTACTTTATGAAAAGAGTGCAATCTAAGTCCATTTGTTTCAATAGTAATCCTTTACATCTTCATTTTTTTTCCTTTTCAGTAAATAGGAAAACCCAGTATACTTTTCTTGGCATTCTTCGTCCTAAGAAGAATTCTTTTGTATAATGTATTCATGTTCTTAATTTTTCCTTTGCTGCTGTTTTTTTTTTCTTTTAACTTTTTTCATCAGTGAATTTTATTCCATTTAGGACAATCTTCACATCCTACCAGCTGGAGGAACTGGAAAAAGCATTCAACGAAGCCCACTATCCTGATGTTTATGCAAGAGAAATGCTGGCTATGAAAACAGAACTTCCTGAAGATAGGATACAGGTAATTATATTGCTATGAAATTCAGTCATTCCATGTCATGACTACTCACTAATTCTTTTTCAACATACTTTGCTTTCTTTGAAAAGAGTGATATACTCTGTAAGACAAGTCTTCTCCCATTTGATGCCAGTGAATTTGATAATGTGGGCCGCTGGATTATTATAATCCAATACATTTGGAAAGGTACAAGATTCAGAAAGGTTGTTTTAAAGGACTGTCTTGTAACCGATTCATCCCAAATCTCAAAGATAATGTTGAATTGATGTGCTTTCTTGTGTGCCTAAGCCTGCACTAGTTGTTCTAGCTTTTATTAGTTAGATATTTTATATAAGAGGATGCAATTGTTTTTGCATGCTGAAGATTAACAAAATGTTGAAAGAAGTATAGTTTTCTATAAGACTTCATCAGGATCCAGGATGCATGACAACTTCTGTAACTGCAAGGTTTTTAATCCAAATGAAATAAAAGTTGTCCAAAACGGTTATAAATCAGGATCAAGAGAGTATAAACAATCAGGAAAACTTAGGAATATTCAAGGTGTAGTAGTACTTAGTATAGTTGGACCATCTTGGAAAATAGACCTTCATAAGATGGAGAATTGGGACTGTGGTCTTCATGTTAACTGTCTTGACATGGAGAAAAGTTAGTACTGCAACTAGATGGCACTTTTCACATCCAGAGCTCACAGACCCAGTTGCAATGGGAATAGAATGCTGATGATACTGGAAGTAATGTAATGAAGTCTTAGAACTCAGAATCTTTCTAGGCCCACATATGAAAGAACACCTAAGAGAAGTGAGAACTACTGGCTGTGATAGGAAATCATGCCTAAAGTGACCTTAGGAGCAAAGAATTGGTTAATACTTTGGATCTTCATTAAATTCTCCCTTTTAAATACTGTATTTTTAATTATTTTTGTAGAAAAGTTTACTGAAGAGTAGAATTCATTATTTCCAAACTACGAAGTTTACTTCTTAATTTCCTCTGGAGAGACATATTATGTTAAAAAAAATAACATAAATGTTCATAAACATATGAATTTATCATAATTCTTCATGATGGAAAGAACAATTCATTCAGATTTTGTAAGTTTTAGAGGTGTTCATAAACATCAAATAACTTAGAATAGTCAGAGATTACAGTTTTCATATGGAAATGTAGTTGCTTTATGAAATAATGGTTGATGAACAAAAAGGCTCAGCTCCATTACATTTTGAACCAGGTTTCAGATGTCATCATGTTATAACAGCATTCAACACTTTATTTCTATACTTATTTTGTTTCACTAACAATGTAAACTATTTAAACTATAAATATTACACCACACAGCTCGATGTTATAAAGATTGTATAAAATGAAGCTGATATATTGTGGGAAAGTCTTATGGTGCAGTTGTGTAATGGGATGGATCTGCCCTACTTAAATTTTATGTAAGAATACATAACTTTGTTAGCATATCTTACTCCATCTTTCAATGCAGTTATAGCAATGGGATAGATAGAGCTTTCAGGCATTAATAGAATTGAAATATAGGCAAACCTATGATCTTTTGCATGCAAAAGACAATTCTCTGTTATTGAGCTATGATTCCTTCTACCTTCTTTGCAAAGGAATTACTTCATCAAGAAATTATTTAAAAAACGAATAACATGGCCCTGGATAGCCCCACAGATTTTTTATAAAAAAATAAAAAATAAAGGAAGTTTGTTATTTATATACAGTACATTAACAAAATTATATATTTTATATGCAGCCCAAGACAATTCCTCTTCATTCATTGTGGCCCAGGCAAGCCAAAATTTGGACAACTATACTTTATACAGTCTGAACCATAACTGGCTAAGCAAGACTAAGAGTTATGTTCTAGACATCTTCTAGGCATTATTTCACGAGGATTTCCCCCATTAAGTATTAGTATAGCATTGGCCTTTTTATTAGAATAACTATGTGAAGACTACAACAATTTCCTGTTCTTTACAATTGCATTCTTCATCTATTTGCATATATATTCTGCCACCCTCTGCCCATTATATTTTGGGATATCATCTTTCTATAGCATCCCCCAGTTCAATGTGTAACCAAGCTATAAAACTGTTTACTTAAATTATGCACGATAAATCATCCCTTCTCCAGCTCTTTAATTATTTGATTGCTCTTTACTGAACTTCCTTCCTTTGTTTCCTTCTGGTAACAAGACATCAAGTGTGCAATGCAATAGACCAAGAATGGAAAATGGAAGGGGAGGGAAGAACTCTATCCTTGAAGGTCGTTGCTATTATTGATATTATTATTGGCTTACATCAGTTCAGATTCTAATATCAGAAATCAGATTTTGGTTCATGCTCTTTATACAGCATTAACACTTGCTGTTTTTGGTTACTTCCGATGACTCATGACAGAACTCTTTAACGTTTTTGGCCAATGGGCATATTTGGAATTTTGAGAGAATGGTGTGGGTTGCTGTGCCTCTAGTGCATAGCGAGGTTGCTTGCCCAATCACAGGAACATGGAGCAGGGCATAGATCTGTGATGGTCATGTTTTTGTCATCCCAGTGAAGATTGTAGATTTACAGCTACGGGGAGTGTGATCCAGAAGATAAGCAGTAATCCCAGAACATTTATATTGGCTTCTGAGAGGCTTTCAAGTTAATGCTGTATTTTGTGATAACGTTGTAAATTACTGGGAGGAAATTACTTTTACCCAATTCTCAATTGTTAAGTTGCAGTGTTGGAGAAAAATACATTTTATCTGAGCTAGCTTTCCAGTATTTTTAGCCCCAATATGTTTTAGGTAACTGTAAGATCCTTCCTTGGAGACACTGATTTAACAATCTTAGTGCTGAGCAAACAGTCTTGTATCACAAGATAGATAGGATATATAATTAGGCCTCCCTAATAGTGATTTTTCTAGGTCCTTCCTCTCAAGGTGTTGTCAGGTGAGATTATTTTTAATGAGTCCAATAAAATTTGGAGAATGTGGATGTTAGACTCTATGTATGATACATTTATTTTATTCTTTCTGAGGTATTTTAATTGACAATGATATTTAATTTCACACTGTATTTTTTAATTTTGCAGTACTATGTTTGATAGTCAATATTATGGATGGAATATTACTTCAGAAATTAGAACAAGCAAAAAGGTACCTCTTGGATTATAGTCATGGGCATGTCTGTGTGTGAATCATAGATTAGCTCCAAAGAAATTTCTTTAGCCTGAGAATCAATTCAGGGAATTACTTGTAAATCAGGTTTTACTAATTCTCATACCGAGGAAGACAATGCATTACTGATTGAGAAAGACTGGGGTGGGTAATAATTGGCAGAAAAGATGGCAGACTCTTTTAGCATTTCCCCCTCGATACAGTTCATGTATGTTTGACTGCCAGAGGAGCAAATATAATCCGATCTTTAGAACTCAGACAGGAATGTTAGATTGTTAGGCAGGAGTGCAAATTATTAGTTTTTAAATTATTCATATTATATTTTAAGGCTAAGGTAAAATGTAATATTTGGGGGATTTTCTACTTTTGCTAAAATGACCTGATTGGCTTTGGGCAATGATGGATCTCTTTATCCACTAATCCAAATATTCTGATTTCATTGCAACACCATATCAAGAAGAGATACATATTTAACTTTAGGAAAAATACAGTACTTGGACTTTTACAACTGGATGTTTTTGTTCTTCACTGTTACTTTTTTTTCACCTAGCATAACCTCTTGTTTTCTTCAAATATGTATTTTCTTTCATCTATTATTCTTCAGGATACTGCTTGTATTCATCTGATTTGCTTAATAATAAATCCATCTTCATGTTAGGAAGTGAATCATATTTTAAAGTTTTACACCCAAATTCACTTTTTTCTTCATCAGGTAATTTCTTCCATAATTTTAGGCCTGATATCAAACTTTGGTGTTTCTCACCCAGGTTTCTTTCATTATCAAAGCAAGGTACCAATATTACCAATGAACCTAAAAAAAAAATATCAAAAATTATGCTACAATTTATCTAATATTTTGGTGATATCATTTGTAATACATGAATCTGTGTAAATTATTGTTTTGATGTCAAATGTTAACTGGAATTGCCACAAGTGAATTTTGGATTTACCAGTTTTAATTAAATGATGCTTTCTAGGTTTATACCTAGAGGCATAACTGGCAGGAAAGGTTTAAACCAGTCATAGTCAACCTTGGCTCTTTTATGACTCGTGGACTTCAACTCCCAGAATTCCTGAGCATGGCTGGCTCAGGAATTCTGGGAGTTGAAGTCCACGAGTCATAAAAGAGCCAAGGTTGACTACCCCTGGTTTAAACCATAGTGCATAGTGCTGTACTAATACTAACTTCCCTGTGCTTCTGCAAAGCAGCAGGAAGGAGAGCAGCTACCTGTTTTGTGATCAGCCATGCAGACCATGTGCCTCTTTTCCTATACTCATTTAACTTCATATCTTTTTATAGGGTCATAGAAAATGATATCATAGTAAATATTGTAAATAACCTTGATGCAGCATATGAATAGGCAGACACAATGTATTTCCTGGTTTATTATACTTCTTCAGATCTCTGAAATAACACTTCAAACTGCATATTTTCTAAACAAATCTAAATCTGAGCAGATGGGAAGGTTTGGAAACCACACATCTGAAAAATGTCTCATTTAAACTGATGTGTTTTCTTAAATGAGAAATGAAAATAACTGGATACCTTTCACTGAGCAAGATAATTCTGAATAATTAGGTTGCTTCTGTGGAAATCCAATAACCTGTTGTCGAAACTCTCCCAAAGTGCTGAGATGTTAATTTTAATAAGCATAGTCTCTGCAATGTGTTTGTGTGTGTTTGTGTGTATTTGACAACAGATTAGGCAAAACTAGACCTATTGAATTAAAATTTGAGTATGAGTTTTATCATTACGTTATAACTTCCAGAAAGAAACAAATGAAATCTGACCCAAAATATTTCAGTCTGAAAAAATGTACATATTTGTATACACATA